AAAAAAAAACAATATTTGAGAGTTCCTTTACCATGCTTAAACTATATGTAGAACAAGGAAATGCTAATCCTCTGGGATTACTTAAATTTTGCATGACCATAATAGACCACATAATGTCAGTAACACGCACAGCAGCGGGAACATCCAATGCATTTCTTGAAAAGAAAATTGGAGGAGAACAAATGGTATTATAAGGATCTTCGGATTCTGATAATGCTTTTTCAATTTGACGAATATAAAGTTCTGGAATTGCAGAATCCGAATCTGTGATCGTAAATACTACGTGCCGTTTGTCGACCTTTCGTGCCAAAAGTTCACATGCCTCACGAGCTGCATATGCGACGTTGCTACCCTTGCCTCGACTTTCACCAGGGACATCTTTTGGATGAACCGTTATAATAAAGTCACGGAAAGAACCATCAAAAGTTCTCTTGAGACTTGCAGCTTTTGAAGTATGGTCGACTTCGGACTCTTCCATTGCCAATATAACAACATAAGTCGTGGTAGCGTTCCTTAAAATCGGAGATGATTATCGTTAAAAATAATGGTTAAAAAAAAATGCGATTAATATAAATCGAATAAATCATAATCTAAACGCATTCTGATCATATACTTAATATTTATTAATTTTTTATTTTTTTTTTTTTTAGTTTGAGATAAAAAAAATTTTTCTTAAGATAAAGTTTCTATAAATGTCCCACCTGTGTTGAGCCAATCTCTTGATAGTATCTCTTAATAACGGCTCTGGTTCCTCATAATTTGGAATAACGAAAGCGTGAATATACTGTCCTTCATATTGTTTAAGCGCACTTTCCATCTCGCTATATTTGTTATCATCATCAGTCATAGATACAGACGTATAACCGTTCCTTGTTGGAGTTATCCTTCCATTATTGGTAGCAGTACTTTTAACCACTTCCTTAGAATCATAATCTCGTGATGAAGATTGCTGCTCTTGTTTTGCATTCCAATCTCGAATGTTCTTTTTGATGTTTCGTACAGTTAAACAAAATTTTAGAAAATGGTTTACAGAAATATATAAAAAAGTTGTAAAGTAAGCCAACAAAAACCAAATATAAACACGTGGAAAGAATATGGGACCTATAAGAAGAACAAAAACAGCACCGATAGCAGTGGTAGGAGCAACTAGCTCGAAAATGTAATGATGTACTCCCATTACTGTGAAATGTATTATTATATAAAGGATATTCGTCTATGTGGCTTTTTTTTTTTCTTTTTTTTTTTGAAAGAATTTTGAATAATTAAATATTAATGTCAAAAAAGGGTGATAAACTCCCGAAAAAATTATACCGTTAAACCGTTAAGAATTAATATTAACGCGAGATTACAAACTGCAATACATATAAACTATATGCGAACAAAATATCCAGCGTAAGAACATCAGCAAAGTTATTTGAAGCCGCAAAGATAGTAGACCGAAGATACGTCATATAAAGTTAAACCAGTCTGTAAAAAAAGATAAAGGATAATTAACACGATTTATTTTTTAAAGATTTTAAATCAAAGAAAATTTTTTTTTAAAAAAAATATATTAAACGGGATGAGTAAACCCACCACTTTTCTTGTTTTTCTTTTATTCCGTTATTCCTTATGATAAAAAACATAAAATTTTTTAGACTGCAGAACCAAAATGAACCATGGAAATGCCAACAGAGGTTTTCAGAGCACCAGGAATATTGGACACTTTGACGTTTCTAAGGTCGAAATGTCAAAATGATAAATAATCGTATGACGGAAATAACACAGGCAAAAAGCAGGAAGGGCAAAGAAAGGAAATATGGTTATGTAAACAAGCACAAATAATACAAAATGTACAGGTAACAAAAAATTGAGAAAAAAAACCTTGTAGAATAGTAGGGTTCGGTCACTATAAAAAAACTGAGACAGTTCTGATGCGACTGATATTGAAGTTCTAATCGCATCAATACCAAATAAAGCGAGCAAGCTACACTAGCAAAAATGTCATCATCCAATGAAACATCTATGTTGTAATCGAATTGCTAACAAAAGTTTAGCCACCAAAAGTTTCTTACTCGTTTTTTTTGATTATACTAAGTCAAGAAATGATAGTCATATAACTGATACATATATATATTGTTATTGAACTAATATACATCGGTTAATTTATTAGTTATATTTATTAGTTATTTTATATACATATAAAATAATAAAGATGAACATGATATTATCCTGTATGCATTTTTGTGAGACAGTCCAAGCCGTCAAGTTCCGCGCACACTAACTACGTAACTCTTGCGAAAGGTCGTGATAAATTCATTCATTGTCAACTCATCTAGCGTCAAGGTGTGACAAATTAAAAAATCGGTAGCTTTCAATTTTACGCCGTCATTTGATTGTTCTTTTATTTGTACGTATTGATAAACTTATTGAAAATTTTGTTTATTATTTTTTTTTTTATTTATTTTTTATTTTTTTTTTTTTGCCGTTGCTGTGTCTTTGTATTGGCTGTGCTTATCGATGGATGATTGCAGAGGCTAGATGGCCGAGTCGTACATTTAATTCTTGTGGCTTACGTATTTAAAATTTCTGATGAAGATGAAAAGATAAAATAGGATCTTGCAAGGCACAAGTTGGTCACAGGATAAGTAAATATACAATTTAATAAACACTATGACTCATTTCATTATTAAACTACTTAACATGCTAGCGGATACATTTTATTCGGTTATCAGATTGAAAAGCTCCGGATCCATTATGACTGTGCAACCTAATTTAATTACACAATGGTGAATACGTGATCCTCCTCAACATCCTCAGCTGTGTGATGACTGTCACTTGTGATAGTTAAACATCACGGGTTCTCGTAATTTCGTTTGTTATATAAAGTTAGCATTATTTCTAGTGGCACGATTGAAATGACGGGCAGGTTTATGTGTGACACTGTGAAGTATATATTTGCAAAATTAATCTTAAGAGCTGAAACTTTGTCAGGATTGTTACTATAATTTGGTCCCTGTTGATATTTACTTATTTGGTTTCTCAACATCTCTCGAATCACGGCTGTAGGTATTACTAATCGGTAACTTTTGCCCGAACTTCCGCTTAAATTGATCTAGGAATAGAAAAGAGCTTCGATCATCAAAGTGCAGGTTCAACACCAATAATGCATTTTAGTAAAACCATTACTCTGCAGGTTGATATCAGCGATTCACTAATTGCGTATGAATTATGAACTACTAAAAATAATGATTTTTCATATCGATATGGAAAATGCATATTAATTATTTCCGACGAAGTTTGGTGGATTGTCCGCGATTTCTTATTGAATTTTTAACGTTCAAATTTCAATCGTGTTATAGTGATGGGCAATTATTAGTTAACATTAATGTAACAATGGGATTATCAATTGAATTACATGTTAGAGATTTGAGATTTGACTCGTTATGAAAATCATTGCCTTAGATATTATTAGATTATCCCTTACCCGGTAATTATTATATATTTCGGGTTAATTTCTTCCGGATCAATTCCCAAAATTAATGTTTATAATGTATTAATAAAATTACTCAACTACGTAGCAAATTATGTTTTTCAATTTACTTAATGTAAGTTATATAAAAAAATTTTTTTTTAGCTTATAGGGATAATTATAATGAATTGGGTCAGTGTTCGAGAACCGCGTAATATCGAGAGGATTTTATATCAGATATTTTATTTTTATTCACTATATCGAGAGTTCACTATAATGAGAGTGACTTGTATCGCTCATTTAGAGGATTCGAACAACAAAAAATTACTAGATCACGAGGTTTCTTGATTCAATATAGAAATTAAATTATAACGCAAATATCTCAGTCCCTTGTGTCAACAAACTTCACTTTCACGCGACTGATATACTTGATTTTTCAAATTAACGTTAATGCATCTGTATCATGTGCATCCTCCTTATCACCAATAAAATGATGAGATTAAGTGTAACAGCCTTTTATAGATCGCTAAAGCGGTTAAATAATTATAACATATTAATATTGTATGTGAATCAATAAACATTGAATTTACCGTTACCGTTACCCCATTTTTAGCGAATTTTTCTTATACGTAAAATATTTTTTTTTAGTAAAATCCATGGATTATCATGTGACTATAAGTTGATTACTAATTATTAGCGTTTGCACTGCAGCGAATCCTGCTTGTTTATGTTAAGATTACAAGTGTAATATTGCACAAAGATGAATATTTAGCTTTATATATTTTTTAATAAACAAATTTGTTTAAAAAAATCAATAATTATTTTTTTGTGGTTAAATAAGATTCTAATTTTGTTTTTAATTTGTAATTTACAATATCTAAAATTTAGAAATATATATTTATTTTACTACGTATACGTAGCAAATTGCTACTATATTTTTACTATAATTAAGTATATATATATTATACTGTAAAAAAAAAATAGAAATTATTTAATTTATTATTTCTTAAACTGTATTCCAGGCAAATTTGCCTGGAATTTTGAAAAGTATTTACAATTTTTTAAATAAAATTAAAAATTATTAATAATATGGGGTATATTTTATATATACAATATTTTATTTGAAACATAT